AACTAAGAAAAGAAGAGAAAGCAAAACCGAAAATTCTATGGCACCAAAGAGAATTCCAGCTTATCCGAGTGTGCCATCTTGACCAGCAAATACTCCGGGATAATATATTTTTGAAAAATCCATAAGTTTCTTGATTTCCAAAGCCACCAAAGCATGTACATAGTGAACTGAATTCTTGCTTCTACCACCTGGAGCGATCAAGTGTGCATATTTGACACCATCAGGCTTTAAATGAATCTGTGCAGTTAGATATTCCATCCCATTGAATAGGACTAAGATTTCAAAATCTAGAAGCCCTTGAGCAAGAGAAAAACAAGTGTTCCACAGTTTCTGCAGCTTCATCACATAAAGAACAGGTATTGTCTATTTCCACCCTTTCCTACTTAGATGAACAACAATTGGTAAGGTTCCTGAAATGCATTTCCATAAGAAGTGACCCTTTTTCTCTAAATCCCAGTACATCTTGTCCTGCATTTGAGGATGCAAAGAAGTTATGCTTAGAATGGCATTGCTCTCTAGTTCATTGAAAACCTGCCTTATTAACTGTTCGTTCCATTGAGAGCCATCTGTCATCATCAATTCTTTCACCCAGATCAAGTGATTAGCAACAATGGGAGAAAGTGTTGGAGAAGGTTTATGAAGATTAGACACCTAGTTAAAGTCGGTGATTCTAGTGCTAGCTCCATTTCTGATTTTAATTTTTAAAAACTTAGAAAAAGTAGGCGTCATATCCATCCAACTGATCCACATCCAGGATCCACTTTGTGTCCTTGAATCTTGAATGAAGGAAGTGTTTCGGAAATACTTGTCCTTGAGGATCCTGCTAACTAGTAAGTCTGGATTTGTTGTTACTCTCCACAGTTGCTTGCAAATAAGGGCTTTATTGAAAATCTGCAAGTCATGAAAGCCCAATCCACCCTTGTCTTTAGGAAGAGATAAGAAACACCATCTTTTTTAATGAATTCATTGGCTTCGATCAGATCCTGAGTTCCACCAAAATTGAGCACATAATTTGGATATTTCCGAGCAAATAAATATAGGCAGTGTAAAGTAGGACATTGAAATACAGGTAGTGCCTGAATGACAGCCTTTATAAGCACCTCTGCAGATGGAAACATGATGATGTTGAGGTGTATTCCTGCTGAAGAAGATGATTGATTTCTGCAAGTTGATCGTTTGGCCTGTGAAAATTTGTACTGCTAAAAAATTTGCATAAGGATTGTTGCTTGGTCTGTACCTGCTCTGCAGAAGAATAGGGAGTCATATGCAAAAAGAAGATAAGAGAGCAATGGCCCATTTATGGATATTTTCATTCCCTTCAGCTGCCAATTAGAGATAGAATGTAGAATCAAAGTAGTAAGCAACTCTGCACCAATGATAAATAGGTAAGAGGACAAAGGATCCCCTTGCCTTATTCCCATGTATGGAGTTACATAGCCCCTGATTGATCCATTTATTTTGACAGAGAAAGATGCTATTGAAACACATACCATGATGACTTTGACAAAATCAGGGTGAAAAGCCATTTGCAACATGATATGCTTTAGACAGAGCCATTCAGCTCGGCCAAAAGCTTTTATTAAATTTATTAAATCTAACTTTAAAGCCATAAAGCAGTTGGTACCAGAGGAATGTCTGTTTAAGAACTTAAAGGCTTCTTAGGCTATAATTACATTATCAATTAGTTGTCTACCCTCAACAAATGTTGCCTGATAATCACTGATACAACTGTTCAAACATGTCTCAAGTCTTTGAGCAAGAAGTTTGGAAATGATTTTGCAAATGACACAACAAAGACTTATTGGTCAGAATTGTACCAAAGTATCTAGATTAGCACATTTGGGAATCAGGAAAATGATAGTGTGGTTCCAGTACTTAAGAGCATACCTGACTGGAAAAAGCTAAGAATTGCCCTCATAAGGTCTTGCTTGGTGAGATCCCAAAAATGCTGATAGAAGGTTGTCGTCATCCCATCTTCCCCTGGGGATTTTTCTAGGTGTAAGTTGAATAATGCCTTTTTAACTGATTGGGGCGTTACATAGGAACCCCTGATTAGTCTTGGTTCTGTATTTGATTATTTTTTCAATTCTTCTCTTGAGTTTCCTTCCCATATTTGGTTGACACAATAATTTTTTTTATATAGATAATAGAAGGCAAAATAATGGCTACTTTAAATTATGAATCAGAC